TTCTTGGGAAAGTGTTCAAGAGGTAGTGTACAACTTTCCTGCTACCCTGAATGAATTAGAGCAGGGACATTGCTGATATAAAATAGTCACAAAGTAGAATGTAATTTAAGCCTCTCCAATTTTTAAGTTGTTTATTGGTAGCAACACAATGTAGAATGGGCTGTCTAATAGAAGGTAAGATCAATAATAATAGACATATGAAGTTAATTGTCAAGAAATATATAGTGCACGATTAAGTTTCAATAAAAAATAGCAATAATGAAAAGAGCTGCCATTTTTTAAGTGTTTAGGAAGGTACTCAGCTCATTGCATACATTTTTTTGAGTGCTCAAAACAAACCCACAAAATAGCAATCTATGTTTTATAGATGAGAAACAGAAGCTCAGGGAGGTTAGGGGAACTACTTCCAATAATGTAAGAAGATAGAGAACTATGAAAAAATCCCAGTCTTTTCTGTTTCCAAAGCTCACACTGCTCCTAATATAGTCTGAAAAGGGCTTCTGAAAATTACTCACACTTCAAGGCTCTGTTCTTTCTTCCCTTTTCTTTTCTTTCCCATTTCTACTTTTTCCTCCTCTCTCCCTTTTCTCTCACCTATAATTTCTTAAAATTTTCTTAAAATTTCCCTCCCATCATTTTCTCCTACTTTCTACCTTCTCATTCTATCCAGATATTTATTGTGCATTTTCTTCCTGCCCACGTAAGAGTAAGAGGTGTGGACTTTTCCTCAATGTTGTCTTCCCATTGCCATTCCTTGAAGGAAATAATTTTTTTTTTTTTTTTTTTTTTTTGAGATGGAGTTTTTCTCTTTTCGCCTAGGCTGGAGTGCAGTGGCACAATCTCGGCTCACTGCAACCTCTGCCTCCTGGGTTCAAGTGATTCTCCTGCCTCAGCCTCCCAAGTAGCTGGCACTACAGGTGCATGCCACCACACCCGGCTAATTTTTGTATTTTTAGTAATTCTTTAATCTCCCCTCTTGAACCCTGTTTTTCTTTTTGTTGTTTTGTGTGATTTTCTTTCTAGCTATTACCACCTGACAGAATTGGACACTAACTCTTAGCCAAATAATTTATGCCATTATATTATTTTTTTTTTCATCTTGGTTCTTTTTACGCTTGGCTAACTGCAAAGTTGAACATAATCTCCTAATATTGTCAAGAACCATGTTAATGCCTACAACTAGGAAAAAGCAAAAAGAAATTTTGAAAGACAGCAATAAAGAAATTAGTGTTGAAAGATAGTATAAAAGTAGTGATAAAAATTTTATGGTTTTCTTTTCACTGTCTTCTAGAATTTTCTCATTAGTCAGTTAGGTTGGATTCTGAGATGTTTTGCCTTCCCTCAAGAGAATCAGCTCTTCCTGTGCTAAATTGGCATAACACTATATAAAGATCACCAGAGTTAAGGCCAAATTTGAGTTATGGAATTACAGTCCTTATGTAACTCCTTTATTTCTTTTTATAAAATTGGTGATTAGAAACTTTCTCCATTCTTACAATGTTCTACAATTCCACTCAAGAACTTCATTAATAATTGTGGATTCTTTTTGGAATCCATGATTCAGACTGGTTAGAGAGAATGCCTTCCCCCTACTTTTTTTTTTTTTTAGACCAAGTCTCCCTCTGTCTCCCAGGCTGGAGTGCAGTGACATGATCTCAGCTGACTGCAGCCTCCATCTCCTGGACTCAAGCCTCCGAGTAGCTTGGATTACAGGCACATGCCACCACACCCAGCTAATTTTTTTATTTTTCGTAGAGACAGGGGTCTCACCATGTTGGCCAGGCTGGTCTTGAACTCCTGACCTCAAATGATCTGCCTGCCTTGGCCTCCCAAAGTGCTGGGATTACAGGCATGAGCCACCGCACCCAGCTCAAGAAAGCCATTTTTTAAAATCCACAATGTGTCACAGTAATATTTGCTAATATTTGCCAGATAATATTGAAATTGAGTGTTCCTCTATTTTGCCCTACAAAACTGTGAGTTTGTTTACAGTGAACATCAAGATCTTCACATTGCCATCCATGTGCCTAGCTCTTCCTCTGGGACATTGGTGGCCCTCAGTAACAGATCGATAAGGTGAACTAAAGTTATACTTGAAGGTTGTTCCCTCCCTTGACTATAGTTCATTCCAGACTGTCTTCTATTTTTGAGGTGACTTTAGTTTCGACCCACCTCACTTCCTCAAAATTCTCTTTTCTCCACAAAGTGTCTCTTTTTCAAAACCAAGGTTGACAATATATTTACTAAGTAGTCATTAATTAATTATTCCAAGCCGAGTAGATTTTCTCAGTGCACTTTAAAGGGGCTGGCTTCTTTCCTATTTTCCTAAGTTAATTTTGTATGAAAATCTCATTAGCTTCTTGAAGAGGGCACTAGCAACTGGAAGCCTATTCCTGTGGTTTAAATGTGTGCCATTCAAAATTCAGGTGTTGCCAATGTGATAGCATTGAGAGCTGAAGGCTTTAGGGGTAATTAGGACATGAAGCATCTTCCTCAAGAATAGGATTTAGACCCTTATAAAGAGGCTTCATGCAGCATTTGGTTTCTTGCCCTTTTGTCTCCTGCCACGTGAGGACACAGCATTCCTTTCTTCTGGAGGATGCAGCCTTCACTAAATAGCCAATCTTGCAAGGTCCTCGATCTTGGACTTTTCATTCTGTAGAACTGTGAGAAATAAATTTCTTTTTAAAATAAATTACCTAGTTTGTGATATTTTGCTATAGCAGCAGAAAATGGACTAAGACACCTGTGTCCTTTCCAAGACTCCCAGTGAACTCAGCAAGATAGGTCTTTTTCTAGTCTAAAATGGCCTCAATGTTTTTATTCAATAACAAAAAATAACTTGCATATGCTTTGCCAAGTGCTGACTCAACTTTTTCTGCTTCAGGTCACATGACTCATTTATCTACCAGATTCTCAGGTCCATGCTCTCCAAATTCTTTTTTGAAAAAAGGAAAATCGTTTCTATGATCTACTATTACAGTTTGGCAACATAAGAATATTTAAAGCATATCAATAATAAATATTGTGAAGATTCAAAATCATTATTTTTACAGGAATGACTGTATGGTTGATCTGAGCAAAAGTTTTAGAATTAGACAGGCTTAGGTTAAAATCCTGATTGAGCCATCTGTCAGATGTGCTCAAGTTACCTTATCTTTGAGTCTTCAGTTTTTCATCTATAAAATGGTAATAAAATACAACTCAAAGATTCCCATCATGATTAAATGCAATAACATCTGGAATATTGTACTTCTATAATAAACAGTAGCTCTTGTTATTATAATATGATTCTTGTAAGCAATACTTGAAGAATCGAGATCTGAGAGAAGTAAAATAATCAAGGGAAGCAGAATTCCTTAGGCCCCTCCCAAGAGCCATCTCTTTTTTTTTTTTCCTTCTTTGTAAGATGTGGAAAAATCCATTTACAGCCTAAGATAGGATCTGATGGAAAAGAATGCCTCTTTGTTTTGTCTTCACCATGAGTGGATTTTGATAAACATTTGGTCAATTAGAAGATAAAATTTGTATTCTTCTTGCAGAAGTCTCCTCTCAAGTCTCTTCACACAGATGCCTGCAGTATTAGGACCTATCCAAATGTTCAGACTCCTTTCAGTATTAGATGACCAGAAGAAAATAGAGTCAGCAACCCTGCGGTCTGCTCTAAATAACTCATCTCAATAACTTCCATCAGAACAATACCATGAAATGACACATTAAGTCATTTCCTAACAATTTAACACCAAATTCAGAAATAAATTATAACAAAGGTGGAACAAAGTTGGAATTCTTGCTAGTTTATACCTGCAATATCCATTGCAACACACCTATTTTTTTTAGTATTGTCCCAGTAGGGTGTTCTGTAATCTCAAATGGAAGAAGTTGTTTCCCAGGGTACATTTGGAAATATATGGAGAAATTTTGCTTGTCATAATGGAGGGAAGGGGATGCCACTTGTATCTGGTGTTAGAAGCCAGCAGTGTACTAAATATCTCACAATGTTCAGGACAACCTTTCTATCACAATAATCATTCAGCTTCAAATATCAGTGGTGCTTAGGTGAAGAAGCACTGTTCCAAAGTATGTATATACTTATTCCCAACTCTTCAATATCAGGTTTGATCTGGAACTCGTTGCCACACTTCAAATCTCTTGGGTCAGTGTTTTAGTTTGTTCTCACATTACTAAAAAGAAATACCTGAGACTTGTTAGTTTATAAAGTAAAAAGGGTTAATCGACTAACAGTTTCACAAGGTGTACAGAAAGCATGATACTGGCATCTACTGGACTTCTAAGAAGGTCTCAGGAAACTTACAATCATAGTGGAAGGCAAAGGGGGAGGGAAGTATCTCACATGATAAGAGCAGGAGCAAGAAAAGAGTTGTCAGGGGTGCTACATTTTTTTTTTTTTTTTTTTTTTGAGACACAGTCTCACTTTGTTGCCTAGCCTGGAGCTCAGTGGTGCGATCTTGGCTCACTGCAACCTCCACCTCCTGGGTTCAATTGATTCTCCTGCCTCAGCCTTCCGAGTTGCTGGGATTAGTAACCTACTTCATGAGAACTAATTTGCTGTCATGAGCATAGCACAAAAAGGATGGCACTAAACCATCCGTGAAAAATCACCCACTTGATTTAATCACCTCCTACCAGGTTCAGCCTCCAACACTATGGATTACATTTGAATGTGAAATTTGGGTGGGGACACAAATCCAAACCATATAAATCAACAAAACTTCATTTCCTTTCTTCCACAGCAAAGAGTCACACTTTCTTGTTTTTTCCTTCTTGAGTACCCTGTCTCAAAGTGCTCCCTGGTAGTTTCTGTCTGTTCTCTCTATCTCTGGGTAGAGGATGGTAACATTCATGGGCAAAGGTCAAAAATGGGGCTTCACATTTTAGTCCAGTCCTTTTAGTAAGTGTATTAGCCCATTTTCACATTGATGATAAAGACACATACGAGACTGAGTAATTTGTAAAGGAAGGAGGTTTAATTGACTCACAGTTCTGCAAGGTTGGGGAGGCCTCAGGAAAATTACAATTATGGCAGAAGGTGAAGCAAACACATCCTTCTTCACATGGTGACAGGAAGTAGTACTGAGCAAAAAGAGAAAAAGCCGATTGTAAAACCGTCAGATCTCATGAGAACTCAATTACTATCACAAGAACAGCAGCATAAGGATAATCACCCTCATGATTCAATTACCTCCCACCAGGCCCCTCCCATGACATATGGGGATTATGGGAACTATAATTCAAGATGATATTTGGGTGGGGACACAGCCAAACCATATCATTAAAACTAAATTATACATAAGAATTCTATAATTTTAAGGATTTAATGATAACCTTGCATTTCCAAAAAATAAATCCACAGAAACTATGTCATTGAGATGTTTATATTTAATAAAATAAATTTCAAGTATCTTACATTTGGAAAATATTATGATGAAATTAGACAAATTTCTTTACCAAAGGACTTTTCTGTGCTTTTAGTATGCTATTATGTCTTGAGAATACACAAGTAAAAGATGATATATGAATCTTCCTTAAATATATTCCATCTCAAAAAGATTATTTTTAAAAAAGATCATCTTTCTGGACTCTTCCTCTGTAGTATGCAACTTTGCAAGTTATGACTCATCTAACTTGCTCATTTGACTGAGACCCAGGAAGTGAAAGGACCCATTCCAGCTTACATGTCCAAGTTTTTCCAGGCAGGGGATCTTAATGTAAGAGTGTTGACTCTAATCCACTGTTCTTTTCAATACATGTTGGTGACAAAAGAAAGTATTCATACCAGTAGTGCATTCTGATACTGTAAGCATTTCCACTTAATTGAATTTTTTCTTTAAAATTTAAGTACTCACACATTGATATAAGAATAACTATAAACTGGTGTATCATATGATGCCCTCTTTATGTACTTATTCTCATGCAATATTTCGGTTTACAACTAGGTTTACAAGTGTTTGTTATCTTATTTATGCATGGCTAAACCAGCAATAGTTGTGTTAAGATTTTCCTAAACATTATAAGCTGAAAAAAAATTATACTTAAGTTGATTGGATTTACCTAGTTCTATGAACCAATAATATTTTACATTCATATAAAAATTTGTGGCTGGGTGCGGTGGCTCACGCTTGTAATCCCAGCACTTTGGGAGGCTGAGGCGGGTGGATCACGAGGTCAGAGTTCGAGACCAACCTGGTTAACATGGTGAAACCCTGTCTCTACTAAAAGTACAAAAATTTAGCTGGGCACGGTGGCGCATGCCTGTAATCCCAGCTACTCAGGAGTCTGAGGCAGGAGAATTGCCTGAACCCAGGAGGCGGAGGTTGCAGTGAGCCGAGATCGCACCATTTCACTGCAGCCTGGGTAACAAGAGCGAAACTCCGTCTCAAAAAAAAAAAAAAAAAAACGAATTCGTTGGAATTATTTTGTAGCAGAGTGCACCTTATTTCACAAAAATACTTATTCTCACATTTTTGTTCTTTGTGATGTTCTGAATTATGAAACAGATTGTTAGAGTCTTACCCTGGGTCCACTGAAAGAAGAACTTAAGGATTAAAGGTGAGAAAAAAGAGAAAAGGAGGTAAGCAAAGAGGTGAACATTGTGATGTGATGTGCTGTTTTGTGGCTACCACTCTGCAATGAGTTGCAAAGGTTTCTAACCTTTTTTTATTTATTTCTACTTTTCTACATTTTACCAACATATATTGCTTAATGTTTCAAATTTCTAATTTTTAGTAAGATCTCCACATGATCCACTTTTATTCCAAACTCAGCTACCAAAGTTTCAAATTTTCTCTGACCTATTGGAAGGGAATTGATTTGATCTTTTTTTGAAATGTCTAAGCAGCATATTGACGTAGCTCTTAAATATTTATTTATTTATTTATTTACTATTTTCTGAGACAGGTGCTCACTTTGTTGCACAGGTTGGAGTGCAGTGGCATAATCACAGCTCACTGCAACCTCTGCCTCCTGGGCTCAAGTGATTCTACCTCAGTCTCTGAATAGCGGGGATTATAGACATGTGCCACCACGCCAAGCTAATTTTTGTATTTTTCGTAGGTAGAAATAGGGTTTTGCCATATCGGTTAGGCTGATCTTGAACTCCTGGCCTCAAGGAATCTTTCCACCTTGGCCTCCCAAAGTGCTGGATTACAGACTATAAGCTACTGCACTTAGCCTGCATATTTCTTGAAACAGTCATTATATGTTTTTTAACAGGATTTTCTTTGGATGTGTCTGATATTTCTATTAGATCATAGGAGACCTATTTGGACAACTACATTCCCTTTTTAAAATCTCTGGATTGCTCACAGCACTTCGGAGAGGGTCTTGCACATTTACCATCCTAAATATAAGTTTGCTAAATAATTGCTTGTTTTAATTTGTTTATACTTTCTTTCAGTATACACATGTACAATCTTTGTCTTTTTCCAGTCCTGACCTTAAAAAATTTTTTTTAGGAAATTTCATTGACATAGGCAATTGAAGAAAATGCACACAAAAAAATATTTTCTTTATATAAATCTTAAAAAAATTGTTGCTGAAAGGAATAAGATGATGTAGTTAGAAGTACAGTAGGCCTATGTTTCTAGTCTTTGCTCTGATACTAATTAGCTGAGCAACCTTGAGAAAGTCATCTTTCCTTTCTAGGCCTTCATTTTCTTATCTTTAAAATGAGCTATAGTGTTTTCTATATGAGCTACCACACAGGAATTTTCGAAGGAACAAACACTATCACATAAATACATTTTGGAGGTGCAGAGCACCATATAATTGCGAACACTATCATGAGTAGAAAATAATAGAGTCTTTGAGTAGGGCAGCACTTTGAAAACATTTAGCCCAGTCCTCTTACGTTAGTGATGAGTATACTGGATACTAGAAGGTTACAGAACTTGTTCAAAGTCACAGAATTGGTTGATGCCACAGCACAGAAAAAACACAAGAATTAAATCACCCATTTCTATTCCTTTTAAAATTCTACTCCCAGCTATCCAGCTCACCTGATCTCTCCTGATTATTAAATCATTTCTCTCCTCCCATCTCCAGTGCTCACTTTCTGTGGCACATGATTAGTTTGCTCTGAGTCTTTGAAGAGGTCAGAAACACTATCATTGGAATTTGTGAAAAATCTTTCTACCTTCAGTGATTCTAGGCTTTTAGGGTTTGACTTGAAACTGGTATCTCAGCCAGGTCCCTGGGAGGCTAGTCATGCTGGCTAGCACCTTCTTCTTCTGGTCTCTCTATACTAAGCCAAATTGCCCTGAAAATCATAAATGAGTATCTTGACTTTGCTTATTCAATAACCTGACTCTGCACTTTCAGTAATTCTTCCAGACAGACGGTGCCCCCCAGCTGTTTGGGCATTTAAACAGCACAGATGACTTTTCTGCTGTACAGTCCACAACTGCCAAAATCAGCTCATGTCCTCAGCCCTTCCCCATTCTCTGAGATAATTTTGGTGAGTTATCATTCAGGTATTTCTAGAGATGGAAGATTAGTTATTTTAATTGCATACTTACAATACATGGGATTTTGAGCGGTAAAATTGAGTACAAAGTTTGTTAACAAATTCTAGCCTTCTAGTTTCTAGATAAGTTATTTGGGTGCATAATACTATCTTTTATAATTAATTTTCATTCATGTTGTTATTATTTTGAAGAACATGAAAAATAGAAATTCCTTATTTATTAACCTACAACTCAATTTGTATTTTTTTCATTCAAGGAAAGGATGTTATATTAGTTGCCTTTGAATCTCATCAGGCTATTATTTCTTTTGACAGTGAAAAAAGTCAGAAAATCCAAGCACTTTCCTTTGGCAGTAGTCAGATGAAACTCATATATACAAAATGGAATGAAAAACTGTGTGATGAGCTAGACTTGAGGCAGGAAGACAGGCATCATATATCTTATTGTTTTATTTGCCTTCCTTGGTCCTCCAATAACTATTCCCAATTTTGTTTTGCATCATCTGTTCCCCAAAATATACTCCTTAGGCTTTTATATTTATAGGTCCTACTTTCCTTTTCATTCCTTTTATGTTCTTTTTTTCCTGTTTCTTCCCTCCCCAATTATTCTATGGAGGTTTTTATTGACTTTGGCCTTTGATAGCTCTATGTATTTGAAAGCAGCCATTCACCACCTCCTCTGGAGAAGTACCAATAAAGTGCAAAACCATTATCACAAAACTGTTTCTCAAAGTTTTGTCACATCCCAGACAGTTTCATGAAGATATGCTGAATGGATTTGTTTTGTTTGTTTTTGCTTTAGGGATTGCTAAGGGCAACAGGCAGTCCTGAAAACGATTGTAAATCATGAGTTACTATGACACATCTTATTTGTTGCAGGGGTGTTTGCTTTCTTTGGGCCAAAAAAATTCAAAATTTTGTTCAAAACTATTTTTGATGTCCCATGTCATATCAGAAAAATGGTGCATGTTTTCTTGCCTGAAATGGAGAAAACTCTCTAAATTTCTTTTAAATAATGTCCAATCTCAGGCCAACAAACACTGAATTAAGTAGCAACAGACTGTGAGGAGAGAGAGAGAGGGAGAGAGAGAGAGAGAGAGAGAGAGAGAGAGAGATAGACAGAGAGAGACAGAGGCAGAGACAGAGACAGAAATTCTAGAATATGCAAAAACAACACATTCTAGAAGGCTATTACAAAATGGAAGCAAGAACTACCAACAGCCAAGGTAGATCATCTGAATACGTTGACTCTCTAAGTAATGCTCATTGTCCTTTGTTAGGAAACTCTGTGGTGTTCAGATAGGCCACTGGGAGTTCTACTTGCACAGTTTTACTCTGACATGGTGGGCTGCTGTTGAGGCAGTATCGATATATTTGCAGTAATGGAAGATGTTTGGGTTTATTCTGAGTGGAAGATGATTTATGTTTGTTTGTTTGTTTATCTGTACTTTGGAAATCCGGCTGATGAGCCTGGAGCTATCTACACTGAGCATTGATCTGTGCATCAGCAAGTCTAGAGCTTAAGAGAGAAATCCAAACTGGAGCACAGGCTTCTACAACGTGATCATCAGGCCCTGTATGAAGGCCACCATGCAGTGCGCCCTGAGAACATGGTGTGAACAACAACAACAAAGTGTTCTTGATCTCAGAGAGTTGAGGTCTGCTACCATGGAAAAGAAAATAGTAAGCAGTGTGTGTACATTTCAGATGGAAAGGAGACAGTCAGAGGGACTTAAAACAATAACAACAACAATGTAATATGGAATTCCTGAAAGGCGGTGTGATGAATAAGCAGTTTTTCAACTGTATTCACTTTCGTAGAGTGTTTTAGGAAGGTAAATATTAAAAGGAAGATATCAAAGTAAATGAAATTAGAAATACACATTTCATTTTGTGAAAACACAATTATTTGTCTATCCTAGAAGGACTCTATCAATAACAAACGTAGCTCTCCATGAGACATCGTGACTCTCTAAAAGATGCTTATTGTACAGATGACTTTTTTTTAATTTACAGATTTTTTTTGGAATACATTAAGTGTTTATGTCTGGTATACATTTCATCCTATATTATCTTACACTTTTATCATTCATGGAACATTCAACAAGTCTTTACTAGTTGGTTGGTGAAAACCAAATGGATACACATTTCTCCCCATTTGGCAGACATTTTTTGAGGATGTAAATTTAATAAAGGTATACTGAGAACTTTTTGCTGCATCCTATACACAAGATATTACACACACACTGACAGAATGGTACAGATGTGTTAACTAATATACATAAAAAGTAAATAACAATTCAAGGCAATCATAGCATGTACACAGTCACGTTTCTGTTAGATTCATTAGTTTGTTCATTCACTCTTCCAATTATTTATTTGAAATGTATCTTCAAATTTCACTCAAAATCTAAGATTCTCTAATTGTATAGTATGATGGCTTCAAATCCATTCACTGGCTTAGGTTTGCCTTGAACTCTTCTTTATGATGTGCGTGATCTCTTTCCAAACAGCCCTAAGAAGAGAGGTCAGAGGACATAATTTCTCTGTGAATAGTCTCTGAAACTCCAGGAAGCATGCTGTGAAAGCCGGTAGTTTTCTCTCCATGGCTACTGGCTAAATAAAATCGGTGTATATAGGCACATAGTCATATAAACAGAGATTCATAAATACATGTACTTTCTAAACGTTGGGTCAATATCTCAGCAGTATTTTGTCTCTTATCCTGAATTGAGTCACTTATCCCAAGGAGTCTCCTGCTAAACTATAGAATAAAGTTTTGGGGCATGTTGATATATTCAACTCCATGCAGCTATTTTGATGCCATCACTTTTATCCAGGGAGTTGTTTGTAGAATTTTTCTAAATTTGGTCCCATTAAAACATGAACTCATTGCATTTCTTTGCTTTTCCTTATCAGGGAGAATACGTAAGTGAAGTCATGATTATCAGCCCATTCTTGATCCTATCTCCAACACAATCTCCATCCCCTGAGTGAGGTGGGCAAATGAATTTTCTCCTTATGCCTTCATTTGTATTTATGCTTACTTCCTGACTATTCAAAATTCTCATAATTTTCAGTCCAAATGGCAGAAGAAGCTAGTCTGATTGGCGTATATAACTACTGTTAACCTTATTGAGTAGAGTCATTTATGACTGAACATGCCATTGTTCATCATGAAAACTATGGCTTGGTTACCTTTCAATAAGAAAAGCATCTAATCCTGATATAATCAGTGGCCAACTCTGCCTGTAGGACCCCTCACTACTTATTTTACAAGCATCGGTCTGTGGATAGGGCAGGTTCACAAAGAAAGAGATATTGGGTATAGCTTGACTAACCATAGGTGCTAATTTGCTTAAAACAGCGCCTGCTGTTTAGCTCTCCCAGCCATCTAACTCACCAATCCTTTCTCAAGTGGTAATGTAGATGCACTGTCCTTTGTGTCATTGGTTGTCATCATCCTACATACGGTTTCAAGGATGCTTCTATCTGAAATGATCAAACCTAAACACAATTATTGCCTTCCAATAGGTATGCGATTCAAAGCCATCTCTGGTTATTATATCCACAGAGAATATCACAGGGTCCTTTAAATGCTGTTTGTCTTGGAATCCACAGTCTCCATATGTTGTATATTTTTACTCTAATTCCATCATAATTCCACCCAGATGTTACCAGATCTTCTATAAGCTATGGACCACATAGTAAATTGAGTTACCAATACAGTTAGTGAAGAGAGGATAATTAGAACACATGCAAACACATAACGAACGATGGCAATAGTAACTGGGCACAGATAAAAGCTGTAGTCCTTTTTCTATTTCACAACACTTTAGCAGGTTTTTTTAAATTTTTTTCTCCAAGGCATATTTTTATAGTCTTTGGCTTTCATCCATAATCCCATTTGGCCATAACTCTTAATAAAATGGCATGAGACAAATCACTGGTTGTTCCGAATCCAAGGCTTTTGTGGTCTTGCCTGTGCAATGCAGTAGTAGACTGTTGTTAACTTTTACCACTGATCATGGTCATACAAGAACAGAACAGAGATCCATCAAGTCCCAAATTCACCTTCTGTGAAAATTCACACCTAAGATTTCTGTATAGCATGATAACGCCGTTGTTCACTTGTTTCTCTAAAATTAAGGAGTTTTGACATTGTTAATGTGCAGTTTTAGTTTCCAACTTAATGAAATGTATGCTTTTTTCTCTAGGTTGAATGATACTTCTTTTGTCTTTTATCACTGTAGAGGAGCAGGAAGCAAAGATTTTGAAATTTATCCATTAAGAATAATCATGAGAGATTAAATCCAGCTGCTCCAAAACACAGTCTCAAGATTCAAATGTTGCAAAGAAAAAAAAAGAGATGATGTTTCAGACTGCAGACCACATCTAAGAAGACAAATTCATCAGGAAAACCTCATGAATCCCATTTTAATAAAGACACTTCACTTTTAGAGCAGTCAGTGTTGGTTGCCAATCCCAATATTCATTTTTCTATCCCACTTTATTGAAAGAATTTAACTTGTATTCAACTACCCATGCCTCAGGGAAGCTAACACTATTCTAAGTTCTTTCTTTTTTTGAGACCAGGTCTCACTGTATTACCCAGGCTGGAGTACACACAGTGGTGCAATCACAGCTAACTACAACCTTGGTCTCCTGGGCTCAATCAATCCTCCCACCTCAGCATCCCAAGTAAGCTGGGACCACAGGTATGTACCACTAAATGTGGCTTTCTTTTTTATTATTACTATTATTATTATTTGTAGAATGAGGTCTCACTGTGTCACCCAGGCTAGTTTCAAACTCCTGGGCTCAAGCAATCCTCTGACCTCGGCCTCCCGAAGTACTGAGATTACAGGTGTGAGCCACTGTACCCAGCCTATCCCAAGTTCTTAAAATAAGTATACTGTAATTCCAGTACTCTGAGAAGCCAAGGTGGGTGGATCACCTGAGGTCAGGATTTAACCCACCTGGTCAACATGTTGAAACCTTTTCTTTACTAAAAATACAAAATTTAGCCAGGCATGGTGGTGGGTGCCTGTAATCCCAGCTACTGGGGCTAAGACAGGAGAATCGCTTGAACCTGGGAGGAAGAGGTTGCAGTGAGCCTAGATCACGCCACTGCACTCCTGCCTGGAAGGCAGAGTGAAAAAAAAAAGTGTAGTAATTCCATTACACTTACCAGTAATTGGTTTCAGGGTGAACATATAACATAAAAGGTAGCTGTGTTGAAGAGCTTCTGAAAAACAAGAAAATCAAACAACAAATATATACATGAGATATTCCTCATTCTGAAAAAAGCGACAAGAAAATGACTTCTGCTACATGTTGCTTTGTTGCCATTGTATGTAACTTCAGCAGTCCTTTGAAAATGAAAGGGAGGTGGGGGTTTCACTTAGAGGTAATTCTGGAGGGCAAGCTCCCAGCCCTGCAGGGAACATTTCCGTCCTACTGGGAAACTAGCCCAAAGTATGAGAAAACTCAGAGGGAGATAAAACCAACCTTCCCTTGAAGAGCTGTAAAATGTCTCAGAGAAGGTTACTTTTTCAAATGAAAATTAAATATTCGTTCATCAAGGACAAGTATGGCAGGAAAAAGTGATTCTTGAGTAGAAGAAATAGAATATGTAGAGGTGAAGAAGCTTAAAAGAGTATGTCAAAGTAGAGAAAATTTTTCAGTGGATTATTTAGGAGAGAATGGGTCAGAAAATAAAGCTAGAAAAGTTGATCAAGACCAGATCCTGGGGGGTCATATTAGGAGTTGCTTTAAAGGGTATGAAATTCAAATACAACTGATGAGGACCAGTTGAAAATGCTTCAAGATTAAACATATTCAGATTCACTGCTAGAAAATCTCTTGAAAGAATGAGGAGGACAATGTAGATGGGAAAACCATGAGCAGGCAGTTAAAATAGTAAAATAGGAGAAAAGTGAGGGTACTAACAGAAGAAATTGGTTTCACTTAATTAACTCTTGCTTTTTATAAAATTTTATGCCCTGCGGCTGATACAATACCATGTGGATTTGAAACCTGGTTTCATTTCTGCCAATTTCTATGGCAAGTCTTTTTATAAAATGCTCACAAATATTTAATGTTTTCAACCTAGGATAACTAACAACTCTAATTTTTGATGTTCTTTCTCCATTCTTAAAGAATAGCACCAATTGCCTTTATCTTGTTTTTCCTCTTTCCTAAATTACATTGAAAACTTCTGCCAAAGGCATAAAATCATCATATAAAAAAAAATTCAGTCAGCCCATCTGTTGCAGAAGTGCCGCCTTCCCTGAAGACTGCTAACACATTTTTCTCCCTCTCTGGCAGTACGTGTTGCTTCTAAATTGCCCAATAGAGTCTTTGAGAGAATCTCAAATTCTTCCCCCAACCTTTTTGGTCTCACTCTCTAAAACGTAGGTAAGACTTAGGCTAGGTAGATGGAAAATACTTTCTTATCATGTAAATATTTCTTTGAAGTTTGGCATAACTCACTCTTTTAAATTCTCAAAATGATCATTATATCTTCACTCCTCTTAACTTTGCATGAACTTTGCTCTCGACACAGACTATACTAGCAGGCTTTGATTAGCCATAGCACATTAGGCTGAGGTAAGAGGAGCCCTGGCCCTGGACCCAGACTTTAGACAGCACCTTTCCAACCCTCCTCTGGCATGGCAAGTGGGAGATGTCCATAAAGCTGTACAGATGTGCTCAATTAGTGCCAGTAGTCCTCATCTGGTTTATGCTCCAGGTATCTGCTACCTCAGGATTTTTAGCCAAAACAATCCCAGCCTCGTTTCCACACTGTATGGATCTCATCACTAAGTCTTGCTTTTGAGGAAATGGCTATTGTACTCACCCTTGGGAAAGGGATGATCATAGGGTAACTCTTTGCAACAGATAGTGATGGAGTTTGACATTCAGACTCTCAGCTTGATTTTCAGGGTGCCATACTCCTAGTACAGAACACTGAAAAGTTAAATAATTCTAAATTCAAATGTATTCTTTCAGGTTCCCATGATGGAATATTTTTCAAACTAGCAGGATGAAATATAATTTGATGGTTTATTTTGTTTCATTTTGTTTTTTTAAAAAAGTAAATATGTAACATATGTTATGTAGGTCTCCATTTGTACTGTTGCTTCAGGAATCACCTGTGGTAGGAAGTAGCAAGTGAAGAAGAATGATTTGCTGGGTTGTGGGCAGCTTTCTTGTTCTAAGATGTTCCTCTATAGCTAAGTTGCTACAGCTGAAATCCTACCATCATTGTTCCTTGTTCAAACGTAAATGCACCTGAGGGTATCATTTCTGTGGTACTGGCATATCCAAATTCTTTCCAGATGGTAGTTTTAGAGAATATGTTTTAATAAGTGGAATATAGAAAAGCTATGAAAACAGATAATGGCTGGGTGGGTCCGAGAAAGACTCAGGGGAAACTACAGAGAAGAAGGAATGAGAAAGGGAACCCACTGAGAGACCGTACACAACGTGGCGTATTTGCAGAGGTGATGGCTCCCAAAGCTTCATCAAGTTCAGTTGCATCAGATCATCATTTCTGAACTTCAGATTCCAAGTGCATTTTTCTCATGTCTTCTATGGGCCTGGTCCAGTGTTTTTCTCAAATTCACAAGAAAGTAGAACAGAGGGGACAGGACTACTTTACCCTGGCACTGACAGGTTTTAAGCCTTATAAAAACAACTCTGTCCATGATATTTTTTGTCTCTCGGATAGAGATATTTCCTGACAAATCTTATTCTTGAGGCATTTTTCGTTGGTTTTACCTGTGTTTTTTCTTTTCTTTTCTTTATATTTTTATTTTTTTATCCTGTTTTTGAAACTCGGATAATAATGAGTTTGAAGGGAGTTCTATAAAATAAAACGTTTTGTACATAAATATATAACTAGGCTACTAACATTGTGTGTGGGGGTAGGGGGATGAGTTTGTGTTGGACTGGTAATCACAGTAAAGGCATGATGCAACAGGGAACACCACTAACTAAAGGGATCTGACAATACTACCAAAGACAAAACTTGTTGTTTCAGCTCCAGCCACAAGTTATATATTCAATAAAAATAAAAACAAAAACATTGAGCACCTAATATATATTAGAGCCTCTACAGAAGGTCAATGTATTAGTCTCTTCTCATGCTGCTAATAAGACATGCCCAAGACTGAGTATTTATTAAAAAAAAAAAGTTTTAATGGACTCACAGTTCCGCATGACTAAGGAGGCCTCACAATCATGGCAGAAAGCAAGTGAGGAGTTAAGTCATGCCTTACCTGTCAGCAGACAAGAGAGAGTTTGTGTAGGGGAACTCCCCTTTATGAAATCATCAGCTCTCATGAAACTTATTCACTGTTATGAGAACTGTATGGGGGAAACCACCCCCATGATTCAATTATCCCAAGCTGGTCCTGCTCTTGACAGATGGGAATAATTACTGTTTAAGGTGAGATTTGGGTGGGGTCACAGCCAAACCACCTCAGTTAAAATATGAAATGAACATAATTGACGATTCTCATGAGAGGCAGATATTCAAACATAAATTCAAATTTGGTGTGATCGTTGTCCAATAGAAGCATGTGCAATATCAAGGGAAGGACTAAGTAACTCAGCACATGGCGATAGGGAATAGCTTTGCAGAGGAGGCAATGATGGGTCTACATTTTAAGGGGCATAGGATAATAGCCACATATCTTAGAAGAAATGTTGCAGAAATGATTGGCAGAGCAAGCCACACAAATCAACAAGCTTTTATAATACCTAAGTAAAACAGAAAAGAGTGACTTACATAGGACATGAAGTAACTTACATTAGGAAACATACAAAGGAAACTGTTGTACATATATAATTGGCAAACTAACTTTTTAGAAGAATAACATATTATTTTTTAGTCTATCAGATACAGTATTCTATGAGCCAAACCCTCTCAAACTTAAAAAGAAAAAAAAATTAAGACTTAGATGCAAAGGAAGTTTGATTTCTTTGATTTCTTTCCTCTAACTACATCTCGAACGTCCTTCTTCTTGTTCTTCACAACCCACTTCTCTCATATTACACAACCCCGAGCAAGGTGATACAATTCCAAGATAAATACATCCTCCCAAGCACTGAATAATACTTAATATTTCTCCTCAGGTGATAGGGAAAAAATGGGGTGCTGCTTGTCACCATTCAGATCTTAATAGTCAGGGAAGCTATATATACCCTGAAAAGACAAATGAGGTCAAAATAACATCTGAAAATAGCCAGAAGTTAAGTTCCATAATAGGAAGCTGTAAAGTGCTACCCAAACAGATGAACAAGAGAAATCAAGCAGAGAGAAGCAGAAAGGCTGCTGATTACTTTGCTCTAATATAAATCATTCTGTTTGGGGCTTTGTTGGTATTACAGTCTCTAGAGTGTGTGCTATGCTGGGAACCTCTGGTAACATCTGATTAGAAAGGTGCAGTTGTCAGTGCATTTCTACTCTTTGGAAATGTGAAGTGATGAAATATCAAAGTCAATATTTTTGCCAATCTTCCCTGCCCTTTGCAAATCTTGCATCTCTCCAGGGGCCTGAAATCTGCCTGTCCTGGAGCAGATCCATGTGTGACTGCCAACAAAGCCTCTCCAAGGAGAGGCTGAGTGTTTGATTCCACATTGGGCAGACAAACACACTCCCCTGTGTTCTCCCCAGTGAGTGCAGGAAACTCTAGACAGACACGGTGATGGAGTAAAAGATTCTGCAGGAATGAAGCAAAAGGCTCTGTTGTGATTTTATTTCCCAATTTTGTTTTTTTCTCTTTATTTTTTAATAAAAATATTTAATATAAAACAGATATGTTTTGAAGAAAATGATAAAAAATTAATTCGGAGCTTGGAGCAACATGGTAGAGGAAATTCTGCAAAATTCAGTGGAGTACAATTTGCCCCTCTTAATACCACTTTTAGTAGCATCTTGTTCCTCTCATTTCTTTATAAATAATTATGACAAAGCCTGGCTTTGCCATGCCTGGCTATCCTATCAGTACCTTTGACTAGTACAGCCTTAGGCAGTATGGAGTTGTCTTTTACTAATTTATTTCTCTTTTTATTTTTCTATCATCACTATCCCTTCCATATGTACTTGTTTCCTATGCATTTGAAATATTAGCCATTGTAGAAATGTCAAGGTGATTACCATTTTCTGTGCTATGAGACTTCTCACATGATCTATAAAGAGATTGTACCTATGCTGTAGATATCTAACTGTCTATAGTA